CTCTTTCGGGCATTTGCCTGAAGCTTAGGAAATGATCGATAAGTCGAGTTCGCCACGAACTCTCGAATATCCTTCCTCAGAATGCTCAAATACCGGCTCATACGTGCCTGCTCGGTAGACACGTGCTCAGGGCAGAACATTGCCCTCTCATGGAACATCCTCGTAATCACTGTCACTGACTCTGTCCTCTGCTTGAGGGACAGAATCTCCCAGGCCAACCGTTCCCTCTCCACCGGGGGAACATACTCATCTCGAAACATAGTAGTAAACCTCTCCCATGACACTGCAGTGAGCTCTACAGAAGTGAAACTGGCTGTCACAAACTTCCACCAGTCCTTCGCTCCCAAGCGAAGCTGGTTCAGCACGAATCGTACCCTCAAATGTTCCGGATAGGAACAAGTGTAGAAACACCCCTCGATGTCAGATATCCATCTCATCGTGGAAATCGGATCCTGATTCCCGTCAAACTATGGTGGCTTCGTGTTGCTGAACTCCCGGTACAGCAACGAGTCACCTCCCTGTGGCCTAGCAGCAACGATAGCTGCAGTGGCGGCGGCAGTAGCCGCCTCAGTGACAGCAGCGTATCGCTCATCAAATGACTCAATCAGGGTGGTCTTGATAGACCCAAACATCTCGGGAATCTCTGCTCGGATGGCTGCGGCCACCTCCTCGTGAATCATCCTGCAAATCTCCTCGTCACTGGTACCACTGCCCCCTGGGTTGTGGCGCGTACCCACCATGATATCTCTGAAATACAACACAAAATAATCAGAGATTCGCTCGAGTATACTCACACTCGATCGACCCTACTTGTTACTTAGCATCCTAAGGATTCTTACTTGGACTGCTCACTGACCCGGTGCTTCCAGTTTACTTTTCAATATCTATCATTTATGACCAGGTGGTGGCAAGACTTATAAAAATTTCAAAGACGATGATTGTAACGACGTAAATTTTTCAAACCAAAATTTTCATTTCGAACATAAAATCACATGTCATATTTCGCAAAAACCTCAAGTATCACATTAATACAATTTATTTATCAAAAATTGTTATCACATAAACCAGGATCCTCCAAAATATATCTCCAAAGCGAGTGTGTGTACAATCAAGCCGGGGCCTTTCCGCGATCATCGGAAGTACCTGAAACACATAACACATAACATGGTATGCACGAAGCTTAGTGAGTTCCCCAAAATACCACATACAAAATATTAGCCACTTGAGGCTATAACTCTGTAAGACCCTCCGGTCAATGTGTCTCAGTGAGACCCTCCAGTCCCACAACTCTGATGGACCCTCTGGTCCTAATCCTGTGGACCCTCCGGTCCTAACTCTGTAAACTCTGAATACACATAGCATAAATCAAACAGACATAATGCAGTAATATCACAGTACTCAAATAAACACATAAGACCCTCTGGTCACACATAGATACCACTCTAGGCAAAGTATAGTGAGAAGACTCACCTCGTAAGCTAGCTAGTAAAATCTCGTGCTCAGAATCCTTGATCTAGCCTCCGCCTATCATAAGGATAATATCTCTAATTGATACCCTCCTCATACGCGACTACACCATTCATTGGTCTCTCTTACACTCTTAGCCCTAGAAATGGGTAAAAGACCATTTTACCCTTCCCTGACCTCCATTACTCAGTTGACCAACCCTAAAGTCAACAGAAGTCAATCCCAATCAACAGCCCCAAATTGACCAGGCTCGTCGAGTCCCATCCTTCTCAGTAATCTCCTGAAGGTCCAGCTCGTCGAGTTAACCCCTAACTCGCCGAGCCATCACATGATAAAGCTCACCGGGACAAACCCTAATCTACTCGCCGAGTTGGCTTACCAACTCGGCGAGTCCATTCAGACTCAACTTGCATTAGACGGTTTTAAGGCAGGATACTTTCCCAAACTCCATATCCACACTCTCAGGACTCCTTTATCACTTAAAGTCATAGACTTTACGTCCATGCATGGCATTTTAGACATGAAATGCCAAGAACATGATCTAAATGGATTTTTCACTCGTAAATTTCCCCCAAGGTAGAATAAAGCAGGAACTTTTAGATACTAGGGACCTCCTAAGGTCCAGATCTGTTGTTCAAGCCTCCTCATGAACCCCAAATCCTCAAAGTCCCAAAATATAAAGAAAAGAAGCCCTAAACTTAAAAATGAGAGATCTACTCAAACAAGAGAGAAAGGTTCGAACTTGATACCTCTAACAGAAGCCCTTTGGATGCATATTGACAGATCTAACAACCTTCTTTTGCTCCTTGCTTGAAACCTTCTCCTTTCCTTGCAAAGATACACCAAAATGCTCAAGGTTAGCCCTCTCTTTCTCTCTATAAGCTCAAAGATCGTTTAGGGTTTCTCTCTGGGAAAAGTGGCCGCAAAGGGAGGCTATAAGTGCCTTTAAATAGGCCACAAGCCCGAGGAATTAGGGTTTCCTTCAGCAGCGCTGACTCGGCGAGTCGCCTCACAGACTCGTCGAGTCCATTCATTAATCCACGTCACCAGCCGCGACTCTACTCGACGAGTTGAGGCACCAACTCGTAGAATCACTCTAAAAGTCCAAATTAAATAATAAAATATTATACCTGGGAACCCGGATGTTACAATGATTATCCTAATCTTCTCCATTGTCCATTTCCCGATGAAAGTTACAACCTTCTCAGATACTATTTTTTAATGAATAAGAAAGAATTTATTATGATTAAAGAAGACCATGGAGAAATGCTCAACCATTTTAGTCATCAACACCCACTGATTCTTTTAGACTCGCAACAAACATCACTAATTGTTCTTCACAACCCCATGAATAAAACTCAACTATTATGTGACGGATGTGTGAAACCAATTACTGAAATGCCATTTTATAAGTGTTCCCATTCCCAAGAGTGTTCGTTTGTTCTTCATGAGTGGTGTGCTAGGCTACCTTCCAAAATACAAGATCACCCTGGCCATCCAGAGCATGTACTTGTTCTCATGTCAAACAACCCTCATCAATTATTGGGTTTATTTTTCTGTTACAATTGTTGTTTAGATTGCAATAGTTTCGCATATGGATGTGCTGAATTTGATTATAATGTAGATATCAATTGTGCATTCCTACTCAAAGAAATCACACATGAAGCTCACCCAAACCATCTCCTCTCAAGAATCAATGCTTCTCCTGATCTATCAAAAAAGTATGTAATTCATGTGATTGTTCCCTAGATGATAGCATCGCTTTCCACTGCCCCTCTTGTGATTTCTACTTAGATACAGAGTGTGCTTTGTTGTTGCCTGGAATGATTAGGCACAAGTTCGATAAGCATCCATTGAGCCTAAGATACAATCCAGTTGAGAACCACCCTAGCGACTACTTCTGTGAAATCTGTGAAGACAAATTTAACCCTGAATTGTGGTTCTATCATTGTAGTGTTTGTGCCGAGTCTATGCATCCTGCTTGTGCGCCCTTAATCCTTGGGTGTGAGCAACATGCATATGCCAAGTATGAAAGAGGTGTCTTTGAGTTTGTGAATGTCAAGTTTGGAGGGACGGTTGAGATCCAAAGACTTCACCCACATCATCTATCCTTTCTTGAAGGGATTCAGTCCCATGGTTTGTGCAAAGTGTGCCGCAAAGAATTGCAGTACGAGATGATCTTTAAGTGCTTGGAGTGCGAGTATTTAGTTCATTATGATTGTGCTTCTTCTATTGTCAATTGATCAAGTTATGCGCTTCATGCTTGGTGTAACTAAACACTTGTACCTTTGTTATTTGTATCTTTAAACCATTCATTTAATTAGTTTTGATTTATGTCTTTTATGGGTTGGTGTCAATCATTTGCTTTGTGAACAAGTTTATATTCTCTTAGTAAAAATCCTTAATTTCATTTGAAGGTTCAATTATTTAATAAAATACATATCCTTCATATGCCAAAAAATATTAGAATCTTGTCATGTACATAAGTGCATTAAAGGTGTTTTCCTATGGTCTCTCATTGTCTAATGATATTGGATAAAATGGGAAGTAATCATCTTCTATGTATTTTCTTGAAATTAGTGGAAAAAAAAAAACAAGAATGTTGTATTTTTTTAAAACGTCAAATAGAATAAAATGTCATCATGTATGGGATAACAATACCAATTAACCTGCTTCAAAGATGTACCATTAAGATTACTATTAATCTATATAAAAGATAACACATGAACTTCATTGGCAATCAAATTGTGAGACCCAAGATTCCAGCGATCGACTTTATGGTTTTTGAATTTCCACAAGAAAAAATATCAAAGTGACCCCATGTAACCTTTAATGGTCATTTCATAATGAGACTATAGACATGAGGCTAGAATTTCTTATTATCACATTTAGGTGGTTTTTCTATTTATGGTTGGTATAATTTACTTTAAACAATAATACAAATATAATCGTTAAAAAACGCTTACTTCACTATTGATTAAACTTATAAATCCCAGCTTATTGCTCTTAGTGGTTGGTTGGACCCTTGTCATAAAAGATAATTACAGGTATGGATTGCTGGCATTAGTTAATGTTTTAATTTTTACGTTTTTCTATTTAACGATTAATGTCCATCAAATACTTATAAGAGTGAACGGAACCAACTGACTTTGTTAGACTTCCCATACTTGGCCTACATGTTAGAAAATTTGTCAAAACTAGTTGTTTGATTCGATCTATTATATGCAACAACAAACTAACAATGTTGGTCAAATACAATCACATGTATAACTAATGCACTACATTCTTTTTTTAAGAATGATAGAATTATATTAAATGACTACAAAGAAGCTACAAAAGAATGTAAAACATTATGATGTCTGAAAAGAAAAGGAGACGAAATTTGTAAAGTAGTGATGAAGACCAAGATGGCAGTTACAGGACATACGCCTCTGAGGAGCAATATAGAGCCATGCTTGGTGATCATGTCAATAAGTACTAGAGAAGACACAATAATAATAATAATAATAATAATAATAATAATAATTTGACAAGTCCCTCTTCTTCCCTCAATAGGATGCCAAGCCTGAAGAGTATTTTAGGATCAAAGGACCAAAAAGGAGCCAAAAAGATTGAAACAGCTTCAGTTTTTTTTACCTGATATTACAAAACAAAAGTTGGGTAACTACAGGGAAGAAGATCGTTCTCCACATTTTGACATGGATAGGTCCGTGTTACATTTGAAGCTTATGTGAATTGGATGGTACTTAATTGTAATAATATGTCTGAGTTGTCTATTGTAATCTGCAAGTTATTTTTCTGAACCCGTTTATTGGGATATTGAAGATAGCATCAGTTACAGGATTCCTCCAACTTATGAAATGTTGGCTAACTCATTAAACCTACCTAGAATATCAGAGATTCGAGTGAAGGAATTTTACCTCAAAGGCACACTTGATTTGGGCTCATTAGCTTCAATGATGGCAGCCCACAAAAGTTTTGGCCCCAGAAGCAGTGCAAGGATGGGTGACCCTAAATCCGAATATGAATCTCTTCAAACAAGATTAAAGGCCTAAATATCAAATATCTCACCCCAGAAATTCAGTCTTAAAGTCGGTGATATCACATTGGATTTGTATCATGTCAGATACTGGAACTCTACAGGTTTACTATGTGAAAGTGTTGGAGAAACGTGACACGTATGAGGTTAGTATATCATGTCTTCAAACGGCCATTAATTTGTGTCGGCTGTTATCACTCATATGTAACTTAAACTTCTTGGCATCCAGATTATTGAACGTAGTCTGCCCAAGAAGCAGAAGGCGAACAATGATCCATCTATAATTGAGAAAGAGGAGATGAATAAAATTGGTCAGTATTGGGTGAACATGATCAGAAAAGACATGCCAAAGCATCATAGGGTTTTTTATCAATTTCCACAGAAAGCAATTAACAGATGCCAAGAGATTCTCAGAAAGCTGTCAACGTGAGGTAAAAATGAAGGTGAGCAGACCACTTAAGTTGATGAAGGGTGCTTCAATTCGCACAAGGAAACTGGCAAGGGATATGTTGTTCTTTTGGAAGAGAGTGGACAAAGAAATGGTAATCTTTTCTTACTTTGTCTTTTTGTGGTAATCTTTTGAGGAATGATTATATGACCATCTCTCTTCAGGCTGAAGTAAGGAAAAGAGAAGAAAGAGAAGCTTTGAAGCGTGAACAGGAGCTTCGTGAAGCTAAAAGGCAACAACAGAGGCTTAATTTCTTGTTGTCACAAACAGAATTGTACAGTCACTTCATGCAGAACAAGACAGCCTCCCAAAATAAAGAAGATGGCCAAGAAGCAACATTGACTGGTTCAGAAGTTGAAGATCCTGAAGAGGCAGAAATGAAAATGGAAGCCCTAAAAGCAGCCCAAGATGCAGTCTCCAAACAGAAACTAATCACCAATGAATTTGATGCTGAATGTTTGAAGCTGCGTGAGGCCCCTGAACAAGATGCTTCAATTTCTGGATCTACTGACATTGACTTGTTGCATCCGTAATATTCCTCTTCTTCTTAAGGACATTGACTTGTTGCTCTACTTGTTTGACTGACTTCGAATTTCCTTCAGGTCAACTATGCCAGTGGGATATTCAGTACAGACACCCGAGTTCTCTTAAAGGGTATCAGCTTAAAGGTCTCCAGTGGCTGGTGAATTGTTATGAACAAGGTCTAAATGGTATTCTTGCTGATGAGATCCAAGCAATGGCCTTCTTGGCTCATTTAGCAGAAGTATGTATTCCACTGTAAAATTTTGGATTTCTACTGTTTTACTTGTAACTGATTATCTTTTTCAGGAGAAAAATATATGGGGGCCTTTTCTTGTTGTTGCACCTGCTTCTGTTTTGAGCAATTGGGTTGATGAAATAAGTCGTTTCTTCCCTGACTTAAAAGCACTTCCTTATTGGGGTGACATTCAAGAACGCACTGTACTTAGGAAAAAACATTAATCCAAAGCATCTATATATATATATATATATATATATATATATATATATCTATTTATTCTCAACAATTTACTAAGATTAAGATTCAGCCAGTTTCTCTATTTCAAGAACACGGATAATCAATTAATCTTGTACATGACAGGGATGCTGGATTCCACATTCTTGTTACAAGCTATCAACTACTAGTGTCGGATGAAAAGTAGTTCAGACGTGTGAAGTGGCAGTGTATGGTATTGGATGAAGCTCAGGCAATTAAAAGTTCAAGAAGGTTAGAAGGTTCATGTTCAGATTCATCTGTAGTTGTTTCTCAAGTTATTTAAGTTTCATTTTCATCTGTAGTTGTTTCTCATTGTGTTTTGTTGGAAACTACTGACAGTATAAGATGGAAGTGAAAAAGTAAGAGCAATCACAAGAATGCTACTATTGCCATCAAAATCTGTTAGAAGAAGACTTCCATTTGAGAGTTTGGTCTTGCCACATCATGATATATAGGACTCCTTCATTCAGCTTTCTGTTTCATTCCTAAAACAAGGGCACCAACTGTAAGTTGTGTTATTGGATTTTATATACACATGTGCTTAAAAATAAAAATGTGTTACGGCACTGTTTGCATTTTGTTACTTAGGTTAATTATGTAGAGTGTTGGGATAGAGATTTTAGTAGTTACAGAAAGGTTTGAGGAATTGCATGAAGCTTGGAGTAAGAGGTTGTTAGTTGGGTTTGCGCGTAATGGTCCAAGAACATCAGGTGTCCCAGCTACTCACCATTTGATACAGGAAATTGAGAAACCTGCTCACAAGATCTTCGGGTCATGTCCACCAATGCATGCAGTGTCAAAGATATTACTGCAGATTTCATGCTTTAGATTAATCAACAAAATATCTTTGCTATCACAGTCTTTTATTGTCAATAATTGTAAATAATTTAGTAATCTGATTTATAGGCTAGAAATCTGTAATTTAGGCTGATAATTAGCTTGTATATTCAGTATATATTGAGGATTCTTCTGAATGAAAAAACACATCTTTTTTTTTTTCCCAAAAAAGAGTCTCTAAATTGTCATGGTATCAGAGCCACAATTCTGATCAGTGTCTAGTCTTTCTTTTCTCACTTGATCCTAGTTTAATATCTTGCTCTTAGCTATTCTTGATTGAGTTCTTGTAGCTTCATGTCTACCATGTCCTCAGAAAAATGTGATACTTTCTTCGTTCGCTTCAATGGGAAGAATTACACTCAGCATGGTCATTTCATTTCCAAATTTTTGTCAAAGGGAAGGACTTATGGGGCCATATTGATGGCATCACTCAGTTCCAACTCTTGACAAAGACAAAAACAAATGGAAGGTCAAGAATACCCAGATCATGGCATGGATTATTAGTTCTGTTGAATCCAGTATCATGTTAAATCTTGGCCCTTTCAAGATTGTAGCCCAGATGTGGGAACACTTGAAGAAACTCTATAGTCAGAACAACACCGCTTGAAGATTTCAATTGGAACATGAGTTAGCTTCCCTTCAACAGGATAGTCTTTCCATCTCTGACTTTTACTCTTGCTTCATGAATCTTTGGGCTGAATATACAGATATCGTTTATGCCACTTTACCTCCAGCAGGTCTTAGTTCTGTTCAAGCTGTCCATGAAATCTGCAGTAATATCTTTGACAGTTTATATATAAAACTATGAGCCCGAATTTCTAGGTCAAATCGAATGGACAGATTGATGATTTGAAGAGAAATATGGGTGATTGATGATGAGTAGAGAATGAACAAAGAGCTACAAATCACGGTGGTTGAACTCAGTCTGACTGATCTAGAGAAGAAACTTTAAATTTTTTAAACCTTAGGCATAAAAACTTGTCTCATTAAAGTTTTATTGTTGTTATCGTGTAAAGATAATATCAAGTGTTTGAATTCGATGACTTGTTTAGGAAATTAGTAAATTTTTCCAGTTAGAAAAAAATAATAATACCTTTCGTGAAATAAAACAAAATGAGCAGTAGTAAATGCTGGTTCAAGATTCTGTCTCATTCACACTTTTTGTTGTCCCTCCGCTTGGGTCTCTTTGTTTGTGATACCTTTTCTCTGCAATTACAGATAATTTGGTAAATAAATAAAAAGTGATATTTTAAATTCTAGAATCAGTAACATATTATAATCCGTGTGATGTATATTGATAAAAGTGGTTTTTTCATGGAATGGAGTTTGAGGTGTAGCAATATCTTCAAAACAGGCATCAGCTTCTTCATTTATCCTTATATCCTTTTTCTTTTGTCTATCTTTTTGAGCCTGCATGCGCGCATGCAGTTGAGTAAGTGGGAAAGAAAGTAAGATGCTATTATAAAAAATAATAATAATAAAAAATAAAAAGGAAAGTAGGTTGCTATTAGCGTACCTGTGTGGGAATTTGTTTTAGTTGTGCTTGTGCATCATCATAATTACAATCATCGATGAGCAAAGAAACAACATCTTCAGGGGCTAAGAGGTCGCCTTGTACATGACCACCAGTCATGGCAAGTTGCTGGACAGTACTTTTCTGGCTAGCTCTCTGTAAAAACTTTTCTTCAACACTCTCTTTACATATTAACCTATACACCGTAACCTACATATCATAGAAAAACCAAATACACAAATTACTCCAAGCCAATTCGTTCCAACTTACCATAAATCATTTGAAGGTATATTAGTTAAGACTTAAGAGTGTTATTCACCATGAATAACCAAATTATATTTTATTCAACATGGGTTTCCCAAATGTGTGTTTTTTTCACATTTTTCATATTGTATATTTTATTCACTATCTATCATATATATTTAAAATAATTTAAAAAGTTTACATCGCTATGGTTTTGTATCGATTTGCATTCCAAAGAAATAAACGAATAAACATAAACATAAATGACTCATTTATAAATTATAAATATATCAATGATTAAAAAGTATTTGATATCCGGTGTTGTCTTCCTTCTTAAGGTCGAAGGTTCAAGTCCCACCGTAGACATAAGTGAAATAATTTATGAATAGTTTAGTATATATATGTATTTGCCGTTAAAAAAATATAATTTATAAAATAACTGTCGTATCAAAATTATTAGCCCAAAACGCGTTCATGATATTATAGATGCTCCAGTAAATGAATAAAGGTTTTTTCACTTTCAAAGGAGATAACAACAAGCTCTAAATTCAAACTTTAATTGATTGTTTAATTCATGCTTTATTTGATCAATGTTTTCGTACGCACAAACCTATCCTGACATATAAAGTTTATTCAATTATTAAAAGGGTGACGTATATATGTTTTAAGTCACCATGAAAAATCGGATTATGACACAATTGTCAAAGCTTCAGACTAAATATTCCTCGTGTAATGACAGATAAAGACCAAATTATTTGATTCCAAAAGTGAATTTGGCCGTTCCTTGTGCAAATTGGACTTCCATATTAACTATTAAGGATGCTATTTCCATCGTTCCTGTTTTTTTAGCTCTATTAAATGACCTTCGCTAAGAATATGTCGTTGTATCCAGTGGCGTAGCTAAAATTTTGTTTTAGAATAGACCAAATAATTTATAAAATCTGAACAAATAGAAAAATACTAAATGATAACAAAACGTAACAATATATGATTTTAAAGTAAATTGTTCGATTAAGTTGAAAGTAACTGATAAATTAAGATAATAAAAAAAATATAAGTATACAAATCTGATGAATGATAGTTCACTAAGGAGATTGAAATGCAATTTGTGTAAAGGTGATTATATTCCTGAAGATCTCCAAGGTTAGTCATAGAGAACTCAGTGCTCAATAAAGAGATGATGTGAGACAAAATTTGAGATGATGAGTCGGTCAGAACAATATCATCCACATAGAGTAAAAGATATGCCATATGAGTATCCTGTCGATAAATAAATAAGGAGGAGTCACATCTGCTATGAACAAAGCAAATGCGAGAAATGAAGGTTGTAAATCGTTGAAACCAGACACGCGGGGCTTGCTTTAGACCATATAAGGACCGCTGAAGCAAACAAACATAGTCAGGACGAGAGGGATCACGAAAATCCGGAGGCTGATGCATATAGACCGTTTCCTATAGATGACCATGAAGAAATGCATTTTTAACGTCAAGCTGTCTAATAGGCCACTGATGAGTGACAGCAATACTAAGAACTGTGCGAATAGTAGCAGGCTTCACTACCGGGCTAAATGTCTCATCACAATCAATACCTGGTCGCTGACTCCGACCATTGGCAACAAGACGTGCTTTATATCGCGGTAGAGAGCCATCTGCATTGAGTTTCTTTTTGAAAAACCAAATACAATTAACAATGTTAGCAATAGGTGGTCTTGGAACAAGTACCCAAGTCTGATTAGAGATAAGAGCAGTGTATTCATCATTCATGGCATTAAGCCAATTTGGATCCTTAAAAGCCTGTAAGTAACTTTTTGGAACATGAGAGGTGGTATCGACATGTAAGTTTAACTTACGTATTGGTTTGAAAATCCCTTGCTTGGCACGGGTGAGCATTGGGTGCGAAGCTTGAGGTATAGGAGATATGGTGTCATCTGAGCTGGTAGATGATGGTGAGGTGGGCTCTAAATGAGTGAAGGTGGCAAGAAGAGGATATGTGGACTCCTAGCTCTCTAAAAAGGTGTAGGAAGGTGATTTGTTTGGTGTCATCGACCCAAAAGGAAAAATGGTTTCATAAAAAACAATGTGTGTAGAGATGATGATCTTATTTGTATCATGGTTAAGACAATGGTATCCTTTATGATTCGTAGGATACCCAAGTAAGATGCATGGTGTTGATCTTGGGTCAAGTTTATGAGAAGCATTGATATGAAGGTAACAGAGGCAACCAAACACACGAAGATGGTCATAGGATGGGTGTCGATTATATAGTTTATAGAAAGGAGAGACATTGTGAAGAGGGATGGAAGGAAGGATATTGAGAAGATGAGCAGCCATATGAAGGGCTTCAGTCCAGAATGTGGGAGGAAGTCGAGCATGAAACAAAAGGGTGCGAATGGAATTATTCAAGGTGCGTAACATGCGTATGGATTTTCTGTTTTGTTGAGAGGTGTAAGGACAAGAGAAACGAAAATGAATGTCGTATTGAGAAAACAGAGCATGAAATTTATTATTGTCATACTCACCACCATTATCACATTGAAAAGACTTGATGTCCATCTTAAATTGGTGTGGAAAAAATGTCACACCCCCGAACCAGGATGGCGGAAACGTCCGGGGGCGGATGATGTCATTGTATAGTATCATTTGAATATGAATGAAACATAACAACCAAACGACATACATTAAGATAACAAACTTACATTGTTTACATATTGTATTTGTTCACAAATTACACAAAAGTGACAGAAATGTAAATCCCATAATGCAGCAAAAATATCCAATTCCCATGGTTTGCTTACTGGTTTCCTGAGAATACAAGTCATTTTAAAAAGCATCAACGTAGAATGTTGGTGAGTTCATAAGCATTTTGTATGAAAATGGTTTGTAACATCTTTGTTTGAAATGATTTGTAAGATTCCAGAAAATACGATATTTTCTAAGAAAATGGTTTGTAAGTCTCGTTCCAAAACTGTGGATATATGCATGCATGTCCTTTGTTTTCTTTTGTTTGTAATTGTAAGTTCCCAGAAAATCCTATATTTTTTGTTGTGGTGCATGGTATTTTGCTGGGTATATTGGTGTAAAGTTGAATCCTTTTCCCTAAGCAAATCCTTATCGTACTAAAACCTAATAGAAAACTCCCTTGGAACTACTTTTCATGAATTACTTTATGAGTTTGCTGCCATAGGAAGGGGTTTGCGGTCCAGGCATTACCGTGAACCCTTAGTACACCTCACACAATGAGGATTTCGGTCATATAAGGTCTAAAATGGAGTTTGCGGCCAAGTGTGGCCCATTAAGGGTGTTTACGGCCAAAGGTAGCCCAAATGAGAGTATTTTCGGCCAAGGGTGGCCCAAATGAAAGTGTTTTCGGTCTTGGATGGTTCTTATGGATATG